CCACCACCACGACTACTACGACTACTACTACTACTACTACTACTACTCCTACTCCTACTACTACTACTACTACTCCTACTACTACTACTACTACTACTACTAGTACGTGCCCACTGTAGACTGCATACTGTCTCCTTAATTTCTACCTTCTACCGACTAACCAGATACTGCCATGCGGGAGCCAAAAATTAAAAAAATACAAACGAGTACTCCCCCCCCCACTACTGCAACTTCACTTCTCCTTCTACTACGACTACTGCTACTACTACTACTACTACCACCACTACCACCTCCAGTACTACCAGTAGAGTTACGCAGTACTATCACCAACAGCGACCACTGCCACCACCACCAAAAGGTCCACGCAACACATTCGTTTGGGCGACTTCAAAGACTTGGTTGTGATCTGGTACAAATTACTCCTTATCTCACGACAACATCAGCAAGTTCGCACCAACTGAATTCACAAGGCTCCAGAACGTCAATGGCTGAAGGTTTAGGGGTGATGCAGTGTGATGCAGCACGGAAGTGAGCTGAATAATCGAGGGTGTTTTGGAGTGTCTCTCACAGATGATGCTTGGAGGTGCAGCTAGACTCTAGACATAGAAAAAGCATCTACTACCACCACACCACGACCGCGACGACCCACCCTCACAACCACAACCGCAGCAGCAACGACCAGAACAGCGCTGACGATGAGGACGACGATGCCGATCAGCAAGCTCGCATAGACATAGTGAGGAACAAGCAATATCGGTGACTCTTGTCACGGGGCTGCGTGCAGGCATCCTTTGCTGCGCTTTGCAGCCTTCAGCCGGGAGTTTGACGAACGCTTTATTGCCTCTTGGCCTCGATAGCCGATCGATGCTGCTGGCCGCTGGCATCACAGAGCCTTCTCGTGTCGCGATTGTGTACGTGCCCTAATGTGACGTTCATGTTGTGTGGACTTTCACATCACTGCGCCACAAGTGCCAATAGCTGCTCAGGAGTGCTCAGGCATTGTAGGTGCCCTACACCCGACAGCGTGGTGTCATTGCCGCCCGTGCTGAGCAAACTTATTTTCGCCTTTACCTGCCGGACTGGTTCATTCAACGCCGTGCGAAGCACATCATGCACGTCACGTAGAGGACGGCTTGTCCAGGCCGATTGCTGTGTTTTTCTGCAGGTTTCCAAGAACCATACAAGAAGCATGCAATGCGGTCCCGGCTGCGATAGGCTTGTGCACAGGAAAGGGCTCAGATACAGTAATATCCGGAGCGTCCTGTAGCGACTAAAGTGTGGCACGTCGCTTGGCCAGCATCCACACTTCAATGCCAGTTGGCGCTCTCTTGTACTGTAGCACTTCGAGCCCGGTGGAAAGAGCACGCTGAAGGCCGACTATCCACGACTTGTCAACGATGCCAGTGTCGTCGTGTCCATCGCTTAGCCTGTCTTGGAGCTGTACTCGCATCATTCCGTACAGCTTATACAGACCTGCAGCGATAAACGGCGGCACCTTGGGCCGAGGTCTCTGTATGGCGATGAGGCAGATAGCTTCAGAGCAGGGCATCCTTCGAGCTTGGTTTTTTTGCCTAGGGCTCCGATGCATCACTTGTCGTGCCTCCGTCGGGGGAATATTGCTGTGTGGCGAGACTCACATGCTCCTTTTCGCAGGCTACAGGCCCTGCATTGCGATTTGCCGCCAAGGTTGGCAAGCCTCAGCCCCAAAGAGACAGACAGTCCAGAGCTGGAGTTGGGTGTGGGTAAGGTTCAGGCTGCCAGTGTTGTGACTTGGTGCTACTTTATGCCTTTACAACCCACGACGGTCCCGCCATAAGCTGCCCCTCAGAGCACCGCTTTCTTGGCTTGAGGTGGAGGGTGGGTTATTATTCTAGCTGTCAGTCACCTTCATTACGAGCGATGTTGATGGCCCCCTGGCTTTATGCACTTCTGACGTACATCTAGTCGCTGCCATGATGGTCGGTCAGACTTTGCAGTCAGGCCGTGCGTTATCGTTCCCTGCAACGAGTGTGCCAGCATCTCAGAGTTGCAAACACTTTACGTTTGGCGCTGGTGTTCCCTTAATTAGCCGGCAGCTGAAGGACTTCAGCACAGCCAACCTCTCGTTGCTAGACTGCGAGGTACAGTTTTATCCCGACTACAACAAAACCTACGAAGGCTTCTGCGAGGCCCGGCGAAGCCGGCAGTAGAAGGCCACGACGTCCACGGTGCCATGCAAGCGCGAAGGCGTTGCTCCACGAAGCGTACTGGTACGGCGGGCACTTTGAGCCCGTGCTTTTGGACAGTCGTCCGGGCCAGTTTTCCGACGTGGACCTCGTCCTGGTAGGTCCTGATCGCAGCGGCATTTAGGCATTTCTTTCGCTCTGGCTGCGTCGCCTTAGGTAGTAGCAGTGCCAAGAAAAGCAAGCAAATCATGCGCCCTGGAGGCGTAGCAGCAGACTTCATGAATGAAGAAGCCCAAACCGGAGTGAAGCTCGACCCTTCAAGTCTGAAAATCTCAAAGCTCATTGCATTGATGTGGGCCGCTCGATCTGGGCGGCACACGGCGGTCGATGCTTTGTTGCGCGCGCTCTCGGCGGCAGCTGCACGCGGTCAATCGAGCAGCGGCGGCAACGAGATCTTCCGGTGTCAAGGCAAGTTCGTAGTGTGTAGCGACAGATGCAGCTAAAACACAGCTTTGCTCGATGTTGCTCCGTGGATTGGCGGCACGAAGCTTTTGATGTCCCAGCTCGATTTGCAATTTGCGCGCTCTGACTGTGTCCAGTCAGTGCCTGTCAGCCCTAGCCCTGCAGGACTAGCCGAGGACACCTTGCACATGCGACGCAGCGTGCAGGCAGCGATGGCATTAGACTTGCAGCTTGCCCAGAATGAGGGGGCACTCGGCCAACTCCGATGTGCCCAGTTCCTTTCACTCCATGTTCGATTTTGATCTGGCATTTCTGGCCTTTGTTTTGTCATTCGCACCAGGATTGCTGCTCCAGCAGCAAAAGTTGTGGGCAACCACGTCGACTTCGGGAATTTTCTGACTGACACTCTGGCTGCAAATTGCCTGGAGTCCACTTCGTGACGAACGCAGGGATTCGACTCGACAATAAAGTGCTTTATGTGCCTTCTTGCCACAGCAAGGTTTCTGAACAACTGATGTCAAACAGCAACTTCGTGCTTGTTCTCCATGCGGGCGCCATCTGGTGGTCTGCCACTCAGATGTGGTGATAGTTCACGGACCACTCGTCACGTGTCCATGCCAAGTGGAGTCCGAGGTATCATTGCTTCCTTCGCGACCACTTCATGGCTCGGCACGTGACGCGAATAGCGTTAGAGAGGCATCCCGCCAGAGGTCCCAGGAGGTCTCGACAAAGTTTCAGAGTTCCTGGCAGGCCCTGGCCAGACGTGTCCCAAGCCCTAGAAGAGGGCTCCTCAGTCGTGCTGATTGTGGAAACAGGCCACCAGAGCTCATGTCATCGAACCATGCCTCGAAGTTCTGTTGCGAGCTTGTTGCTGAGCTCGGTCGGACAGGACCTTGGAGGAGGCGTTTGCAAGTCGGTCGCAAAAAGGAGCCCCCCCTTGTCCCGGCCCTTGCATTTGGCAAGCCCCTTGAGTGATGATGGTGAAGAACTGAGTCAGTGCAGTCGTCACTGAGACAGGACCGCCGCGGAGCCGTTTCCCTGCGGCAGCTATTGTCGACCGGTGCCCTCCACTTGGACTGCAGCTCGCTCAAGCAAGCGGAAGACATGCAAAACATCTGAGAATGGCACTGAGTGACACACCTGCTGTATTCACGAGTGTTCGGTCTTTCCTTCCTGACCTGGACCTGAGGCGCTCAGGGCGAGGTGCTGAACGGGGACGCCTTGAAGCTGCTTCGAGAGACAGATTTGTTTCCAACGGCCGAGGACAGGACTGGCAGCATAGCCCGGCGAATTCTAAAAGTCACCGACCTAAAGAAGTTCCAGCTCTCAAGAGCCAAGACGAGGAGCTTTCAGAAGATCGCGTGGCCAAACGAGCAGCCGGCATCGCAGACCATGAGCCGATGGGACTGAAAGCCGAAGATGACACAGGCTACTTGTACTGGTCGGCCACTGGTAGTACTCCTTGATACAGTGTGTAAGACGGCAAACCTTTCGACTCGGTATGCTCGGGGCCGCCCAAGCCCAATCTATCAGCCGGCCTCGCGAGCTTTCTCGAGCCGTCTCGGATGGTCAAGCCGTCATCATGAGCACATGTCAGGGACCCTGAAATGGATGGAAGCGCTTCCACCTACGATTCAACGTCCGCTGAAGTGGCATGGACGAGTCTTCTGCATCCGGGCGGCAGATGTGTGATGGACAGTCTTTGGTGTGCATCTCGTGAAGCAGCAGTGGTAGGCCGAGCAGAGCCTAGCAGACCACGGAAGAACTAACAGGAACTGGCAGGTCTAGCTGATTGGCAGCATGCCAAGATCACGTCCACCTGCGCATCCCAGCATAAACATGTACAAACAGTTCCAGAATTGAGCAAACCTACATAGAAGTTGGCAGGCCGCTATTGGGGCGGCCTCTCACTTGCCATGGGCTTAACCTCGGAACCTGAGCAGCATCAAGGTATGCGTAGCTTAGCTTGCTGTTGGAGTTACGAACAAATCCCATTCTGTCGTCGTCCGATGCGGCTCTCTGGCTGTCTATCATCTCCAGATTTTTGAAGGGGCCGGCCTCAGCAACGCCCGCCCAAACAAAACGCCTACGTCTGAAGGTTCTGCTTGTCGAAGCATTCCCCGTGTCAGCGAAGTGCAAATCGTTTCAGCGTGCTCGTCTGCCGAGAGCCGGACTCGGGCTCACAGGACACCCTCGGGCATAATGACAGTTGTCCCACTTGGGACTAGCATTTCGTGACCTGAACCTGCGTCATAATTTGTTCTCTCCAGTCCAAAACCTTTGGCCCGCTCCCCTTCAGATGCAGACTTGTAAGATCCCAAACATAGCCGAATGCACGCTTGGCCTCGAAAGATCGCCTAGAAATCGTGCACACACATGCGGTCACTGCCACGGGATATTGATTTGCTATGATTTGCTCATCAAACAGACTACCCGTCCTCCAAGGTGTTGGTGTGGATGCCAAGGGACAGCCTACATCCTTGGGCAAAGTCCTGATGGATCTGAGCTGAAGAGTTCGCAAGCGGGCAGGGACAAATTGCTTTGGGGAGGCTGTTCTGCGGCTGCAGTGTTGAGTGCGTGCTTTGCTGCTTGCTGGTGTGCGAGGCCTGTTTGCCCAGACCTGATCAGCTGGCCAGGTATGCCGTTTTCCCGTACACTTCTCGCCAGCCTCTCGTGAACGGACGCTTGCTCGTGCTTGAGTGGATAGTTCCCGTTGTGAAGATAGACACAGAGCAATACTGTGATCGCCGGGGTCAGCTCTCCACGTCGGTCCGTGGCTTTGTGCTTGCTGATGCTCTGGATTCTCGTGAGCTGCTTCACGGATGCATTCTCGTGTCGTTCGTGCTCGTGTGTTGCTGGCTGTTGTCTTCTTGTTCGGTGTGTTGCTGTTTGGGCTATGTTCCTTAAGCCTTCGGGCCGGAAGTGACGTCCTTGTCAGGCCGGCTCGTGTCCCAATCTCTCACCTCGCCTCACGACAGACACATTGCAGATTCTCTCCATCGTTTTGATTCGTAACATCTCAACAAGACCTGACTCAGGTGCAAAATCCTGTGGGTTTTCCACATCATGGGTACCGCGCCCAAAGCTCAGCATGTCGTAGTGAGCAGGCTTTCTCTTGCAAAGAGCTGCACCGACGATGCACATCGTCAGCCGGCCACGGCCCATGAGAACGCAGGAACCTGGAGTTGAAGTCCATGAAAGAGGCTGGGGCCATGAATCCGGACGGCCATGGACGGGAGGTCAGCAAAGATGCTTGGGCTTAGACTTTTGCACGAGCTACAAGACTCTCGAAGGAGTGGCTGGTCCAGACAGTGTAGCTTCGCAAGCTGGCGGTGTGGCAACCTCATTTTGTAATAGAGTTGCAAGCTTTCGAACGGCAATACATTTTTTCAGTATCAGTCGCTGATGCTGCGCATTGCACACCTTTCAAGGACCCGTGAATGGTGGGGCCATCCTTTCCAAATTTGGAATATTTATCCGAGGCCAGCCAGATTCGTCAGAACACGGGCTTCATGCGCGCATCGGACTGGGAGAGGCAGCGCACAAACATGGTCAAGCATGAGTTTTGCAGTCGTTTATTCGCACTCACTCCACAATCTGCAGGCTGGCAGACCGAGATTGTTTGCACACACGATCGCATTGCTCTTGGATTTCGATCTGGTCAGGGGTTGTGTTGTCTGTGCCTGTTGCGAGCGAGGTCTCTTTCAGCGCCTTTCAGGCCTGTGACTTGCAGTGCTGGATGCTGTTAATTACTGAGTTACTGGTAGCGCTTGGCACATGCCGGATTTTCCCAGTTTCCGGCCAAAGAGGACCAATACCGTGTTGCTGCTTGCGGATGTTCAGCTGGAAAGAAGGTCGCGCACGCTCCACATGTCAGATGATTGGTATCACGAAGATGTTTCGGGGCGGGCGGGGGGGGGGGGGGGGNNGGGGGGGGGGGCGGGGCGGACGCAAAATTGTGAAACGTTGTTGCTTGCGGCGTTTTGCGCAGGTCGCCATGCAGTTATTATTCTGGAAGCATTGGCTTTATCATGCTGCAGCAATTTTTGATTGGCTCATCAAGTTCCGGCGAGGAAGAACATTTGCAGGTCCGACCATTGCAGACGGCAACCAAGCGGTTTTGCGTTCAGTTGTTTCTGGCATGTGTCATGAAATATGCATGTCGTTTGTGCTCTGCAGGGAACATGGCACGCCGTTCCGCATCCATCCTGCTCTCCGCCTCTTGGCCACATGAGCTTGGCAAAGCTTGGTGAAGGGCTGTTATGTTTGGTCGAGCATGGGGTAGGCCGCCGAATGAAAAAGCAACTATACTATAGCTGGTGCAATTTTGGGTGGTAACTTTGTTCCTCAGGCCCTGTGCGTTGTGGCCGCGATGTGGATGTTGTCGAGCAGAAGCCTCAGACAAAGCGGGAGTTCTTTTGGTGGCGATTCACTTCACGCAGGTTCCTTCCTTTTTTCCTTTGAGTCAGCGCTCATGTTGAGCAGCCCCGCCCATAGGTACTGCCTTCGTGTCTGCCCCGCAGACAGCCTTGCGCGGCAGCGAGGTGAAAAGGGCAGGGAAGCAGGATGCCATCGTTGAGATTAGCACGCTGCTTTGCCGAAACTCTACGATGTCATTCAGCGCAGGTGCCTCAGAAGCTGGAGCAGGTTCCGCCGCACCTGTCCAGTTTCTGCTCAACAAAGACCTTGAAACCATGGGCCTATGTGTTTTGATATTCTATCGATTCTACTGTTCTATTGTCGTGCCAGGGCTCATGGGACACCCTGTGAGGGCATCGAAGCATCAACAAGAATGTGTTTTATTTTGCAGCACGGTCCCGTATGACAGGCATTGTCCCTGTGTACACAACACGTCCACAACGTTGCGAGCTCCCTCTAACTTCGAAGCCGTGTATGTTGCAGCAACAACGCCACAGCAAGCCCTTCGCAAAACTCGAGAATTGAAAAGCCGAAAGTGTTTTTTCTACGCTTGAAAGGCTGCCGCCCCAGCAGCCCTGGCCGTGGCTGTGGCCTCCCTTCCGGAAGCTGCGCACGCCGGCAACTCCGGCCCCGGAGCTCAGAAACTCTAAGTCATGGTGGCAACAGGCAACGGTAAGGGTCATCAGTCATGCTGTGTCATACTTTATGATCACTACATTATTATTTAGTATGAGCAAGTCGTAGCGAAAGATCCGCTAAGGCTGAGCTACAACAACCAAACTTACCAAACAAGGCGAAACCACAGCTCAACGCAAGCAGCTTTTCAGTTCCTCTACAACCCAAATCGAATCGCTTGCACGGAGGTTCAAGGATTCGTCAGGGTATTCAGGGTAGTCAGACATTGCTTTTAGTTAAGCTCTCACGAGATGCGTTCTGAAGTGACACGCTTTGGGGATTGAGGTCAACGGTTGAGCGTGATGTCAGGAAGCAGCTTGGGAGGAGTGGTTTCGCTGAGACGCGACTTCTTCACTGTTCTTGCCTGACTGCACATCTCTAGGTCTAGAGCCTCAACCCCTTTAACACTTTTCCTTAGTCAAATGCTGAGGATACGCACTGCTCCAGCTGGGATGGGCAGTCTTCATCATCAGCCTTGGTCCGGCCGTGCTCTTCTGGACTGAACTGCTAGCTCACACGTGTGTATCCATCCTTGACGTGCAGAGTCCTGCACATGTGGTTTCTGGCAAATCTATCGTTGATACGTTTCTTTGCATGATTTTTCCCTGCATGCGTCGTGGTCATTCATGACACGGGAAATTGAGCAACGCCGGTTGCTGGGTCATTTGTGGTTTATCATGCATGCGGGTGGGATCGATGAGTTTTGGTGCGAGAGGACAGCTCAGCACAATAAGCACCTTGATATAGTGCCTTGTTCGACGCATGTGCAGGAATTGTCACGGAAAGTGTTCAGAATCAAGAAGTGCACAGGTTCATGGCAAAAGGGAAGGCTGAGCGTTCGGATTGAGCGTCTTGCAGAGGTGGCATGACTAATCCCTTTCTCTCCGAGTGACGGTCCCACTGCTGCTGTAGGATCTACTTCAACAAGCCCGAGCTGCTGTGAGCTGAAATCCTGCCAGGCAGGATCGACGTTCTCCGAAAGACTGTTGCGGGTTGTGGGAGGTTGAGTCTTGGCAGGGCTCAATCTGAAATTTTGCTCCGGTCGCACGCTGGCGTCTGAACCGCAGCACAGGGACTCGAAAAGAGGGTTTGGACTCAGCGAACTTGATAATTCAGCTCAAGATCTCCCGGGGCTCGCAAGGTCACCAGGCCACTAGGCCAAGCCTGTTTCAGTGGAACTCCACTCGTGACAAGCCAGGCCTTTGATTGGGAGCAGCGGAAGTCGTTGCTGAGACCAGCCAACCCATTCCTCCAAGGCTGAGCCGCACTTGGAGACGAAAGCAGATTTAAAAAAGGGAGCGAAGCGAGTATTGCCAGGGCACTGCCGCGGCCCGTTGCATCACTTCACCCTCATGGGAACAAGTCTCTCCGACGCAGCCACCAGGCCCTCAAAGCAGAACCCAAGTTGCGAGAGAGTTGCTGCAGAAAGATGGATGGTGAATCGCCGGATCATGTTGCTGCGGCATCATTGTCTTTGGGGACAGTGGTCATGCTGCAGTGGATTCGAGACTGGGTCGAATCAAGCTTCAATTCTGCTGAAGATGCCCTTGTCCAGCGCGAGGGACAGCTGGAGACGCACTTCCAAGAGGAGCTGTCCCTGGACATGTGGCAGGAGCTACAGACCTATGTCGAGAAATCGGTATCATTGTCCGGTTTGCAGCTGAAGTGCGTGCAGTCATGTGACCACGGGCTTTGTGTTGGAGTGGTCATGTCACAGGCTGCCAGGCAACGGTATGCCGACGAGATGCTCGATCGCCAATTGCTGCATGAACAGAGAGCAGGCAGCTCGAGCGGTTCGGGCGATTCGGATCGGAATGGCATCAGCACGCCCAAGTCAAAGCCTTTGCGTGAAGCTCCCACCACTCCGATCAAGAATGCTGCAAAACATCGGAGGTTGAAGATGGAACATCGCGTTCACAAGGCGAATAAGAGCAAGATGCCAATCTCAAAGCCAACTAAGAAGTCCATCAGCCGTGTATCTGGACGACATGTGTCTGAGGATTTGTCGGGCCTCCTGGCTGCAAAGGAGGGCCTCATCAACGCATTGGATGCAGATGACATGCACGGGATCACCTCTTGGCTGAAGGGCCTCGGGAGGAGGAAGATCGAAGCCCACGAGCTGGAGAAGACTCGCATTGGCCTCACCGTCAGCTTGTGCCGCAAGACTTCGGAACCTTACATCATCAGGTTGGCCGAGATTTTGCTTCAGAGGCGTGGGGCTGGGAGAAAATGGGCCGGGCACGAAAAAGAAGCTCGAACGAATTGTAGCGCCTCGATACCAACATGCCATGTCCCCAGGTGGAAGCTTGCATGGCGACTCGACCGTCAATTGAAGCACGACCTGCAGGGCTGTTGCTGACCCTGCAAGCCTGAGGCCACGACAGAAGATGCTGAAGTGGTCATCCACGTGATGTCCGTGTGATTGTTCCGCCGCGAAGTGTTTGGGGGGGTTTGCCGTCAGATCCCTTTACAGGGGTCTATGTAAAGGACCTGACAGGACTGTTTATGAAGCCACTTTCGCTCGGACTCCAAGCGATTGCTCGTTTCCTCAGCCTCGTGGCTGCCATTTTGCAATGTAATTTTGTATCGGCAGTTGCGAGGGAAGGAAATTTCTAAGGGTTAGGTTCGACCGAGCGGTGCGGTTGACTATTGGCACTTGCTCCAGTACCGGTGCCGGAATTAGCGTGCTTTGCTAAAACATGCTGGCATCCGGGCTGTTTCTGTTTGTCGCGTACGTCGCTGCTTTGCCGGTGAAACCTTTATGCTACGAAAGCTCACCCTCGCCATTTGCCCATCAAGCTTGTGAGGCTCGCGATACTTTTGGAGCAACTTGCAGACTCCTACTCATACTCTACAGCTGCAAGTGATGACAACACCTGTGGCTTGATGTCAACACACGGTTCAACACACCCCACCATGCCGGGCAGTGCAGCGCGATGGCCCCGTCGAAGCTTGGCTGGCAAGACCAGCAGCCAACTAGCAGAGAAGGATGAAAGACAGAGAGAGGGAGAGCAAGCAAGAGAGAGAGCAAGGGAGTTCCCCTAGTCCTCAACTTTGCCGAAAGAAAGAAAGAGCAAGAGAGACGACATCAAGTTCAATTTAGCAACAAGCCCGTACCAAAGAAAGAGCGCTTCAAAGTGCGCAGTGATGCAAATCGATGTCTCCAGTGGCAGGGCTTTCTCTTCTGGGCAGCCTTTTGCTGGCGGTATATTGCGCTCGAGGCCATCATGTCAGCGAAGACCAGGAAAGCATGCCCAGAAACAGCTGATTCTTCTGTGAGGCCGCAGCTATGTAGACGTGTACACACGGGAACCCCCGCAGGAAGACTTTCTGAATTCTGGCATCCGCAATCCTTGCATGCATCGTCAGGCCAGACCACAGGCTTCACAGCACCTGCGAGGGCCCAAAGCCGGCCCTTTGCAGCCCGGAGAGGCCACGACAGCTTGAAAGCGCCCTTGCAGCCTAGCTGCTAGGTGCTGGAAGTCGCCGCTGTAATCGCTTTTGTGCTTTGTAGGCTGGCAGAGATATCGATGTTTGTGCAAGGTAACCCTGAAACTGACATCAGTGATCCCTGAAAGCGCTTAGCTCGGATCTCGGGGGTGCGACACTGCGCAACAACCCCAAGATGTCTTGGACAGGAGGCTTCCGCCAAGTCTTGCGTGCAGCCGAGCCTCCTGCGTCACAGTTGGAGGATGGATGGGTCAGATTGACTCACAGATGTGTGCATTTGCCTCCCCCAGTTGCCTGCATCAAATGGGTGGGCGAGACGGCATCACGATGTAGACATGTGCAGCTTGGATCGGAATCCATTCACAGGAACGAATAGGACCGGCTTGGATGTGTTCACCCACGAGAATCTGCAGGAGACTTGAATCGCTCGCATCGAAAGCAGCAGGTACATTAATGCTTCTGTAGAAACGCGGCAGGTTACAGCGTTAGTGGTCCATGTGGTCCTCAACACTGGAGCGCGAAGTCTCCTGTGTGCTGCGAGGACGTGGTGGCTAATGCTCGGAGCTTGATATTCGCCGTTTACCCGAAAGGGCCACAGGCAGCGTTGGCATGCTGCAGGTGAACGGATCGTCCCAGTATTTCATTGGTCTGTCGCCACAGTCAGTCTCATCCAGAACTGAACTGTTCTTTGTCTTCGAGTCGTCTGCACACAGATAGAACCGGGCTGACTGAGACAGAGACCTGACCTGCGTTGGGGTTCTGCTGTAGCTCTCAGTGCACAACGGGTTGTGGAACGCTATACTCCTTCTGGAGCTTGGATGACTAGCCGAGTAGGATCCGAGATATGCGTTTCATGAACAAGTGGAGGTTTGTGCGGCGGCACATCCTGAAAAACGGTGCCCGAAGTTTGGACCTTGCCTCCTTACACAGCATCCTGCCGATCCCGGCCGACACCCCTAAGCCTCATGGCCTAGCGGACAGCGTTCCGTCGCGGAGTGGCTCGGCAGCTGCTGAGAATAATGGAATCCGGATGTTTGCTGCTTTTCCCCGGCGATCAGGCAGCATGGCGAAACGTCCTCGCTGGATTTGCAGTGGCCTTGGCGATGATTCCAGAGCCTGGGCAACATGCGTCGCATGAGGAATCAGACATCCCGTTCATTCATCTTTTTGCGCCTTGTGCGTTTATGCGCAGCAAAAGATGGATAGTCGCGTTCAAGTCCTATTCAAGTTGTGATCATAAAGAAACTGTGACATGGAGAAGAGAAGGTGCTGAGAAAGCAGAGAGAGAGAGGGTTGCTAGGAATCGGTGGCCTTCGCTTTTGTCGCCGGCGTGACGCCCATTGTCGGCCTTTGGAGCGCCGCTGCTAGGCGGCCAACATCTTTGGAAAAGGGTAGTATGGGCGGGGCTCGCGTGACCATCTCTGTGGAAGTATGTAGGGCTGAGCATTACCTGAACCGGTCCTGAATCCTGCCGAGGTCGCCCTCGGCTTCTTCGCTGCCAGCTTCGGGGGCCGTGCCGGAGTTGCCTCCGGCGCTGCGGGCTCTACGGCCGCGGCGGGGCAGCGAAGATCTCTTGGGGACTCCATGGTTTTTTGTGGGTTGAGCGTGTGTTTAACGCTGGTTGAATTGCGAAGGCTGTCAGAAAGTCTTTGCAGGTGCAACTCGCAGGCTTTCACTCCCACGAAAGCTCCCGGAGCAGGCTCGAGGCAACAGAGGCGTGGGTGCCGAGGTGGTCATGGCAGCACTCGTCGCTCGACATGGAACGACGTACCTGAGACCTGGCCGATCATTCGGAGATGGGGCTACACATAGGGATTCACGCTGCAGCGCTTGTGCTTCCGAAGGAGCGCTGCAGTGCTTCTTGCTGGCGGCCTGCAGATTCTGGCAGGCAAGGGGTTGGGAGATGTTGGGAGTTCACTGGGCTATCGGTAGTGTAGGGCACCACCAAAATGCTTAAATCGTATTTTGAGCGGGCACGCGGGCAAAACCACTCATAACCACTCTAATTCAAGGGTCGAGGGCTTGGACCTTTGTGAGAGTGTGGATCAGGGAAGCTCTGTTGCTTAATGTGCGCGCGTAAATGATTTACGACATCAGTTCTGGTGGCGGGCAGTAGTGAGCAAACATGGGATGATGCCTACTGACGCACCAGCTCTGCGATTAGCTGTTCGATTGCCAGTGGTCCTCGTCACGGTATGCGGACGATGGGTTTGAGTGAAAGAGCAGATGTTGTGTGAACGCATACTGGACATCGGGAATCGACTTGACAGATTGCTCAAATTCCCTTACGGTGACGTGGTGGGCAGCGGGTTTGCCATAACTTCCGTTGAGGCAGAAAGCGCCGTTACACGTAGGAACGGTTCGCCCACCATTTTTGTTGTGACTGCGGTGCGTGCCTTTGTGTGCTGACCTTTCTCCGCTGATCTTCAGCCCCGACGGCCGACAGGTCTCTTGCAATGGGGGAAGTTCATCAAATTGGTGCCACATCCAGTTATGCTGGGCCGCTCAACTGCGACTGGAGTCTCGCTGCCATACTTGCAAATGCACGGACGATGGTACAAGTGTTGCGGCATGTCTTGCACCGAACATCCGCATTGCAGCATCATTCCTTAGCAGTGATGTTATTTGTGTGCGAGTGTTTCGATGGGTGGTGCGATCGGCGAAGCTCGTGGAACGCATGTGTGTGCGATTGCACTTGTGCGCAGTAGGCGTTTGTGCGGTTGCTCGGCCCCTCAGCCACTTGTCACTATCCCCTTGTCGGCACATTCGAGCTAGTCCACGCCTCTCAGGATTTGTGAACGGCTTGGCTATCGTTATTGGAAAGGCGCTGCTCGGCCCTGAAAATTTGGGCCCGGCGGCCCAGTTTGAGTGTCTCGCGCCGAATGCAAAGGCAGCTAACCCATTTCTTGGACCCAGCCACCGGCTCCGTGCTGACCGGCTTGCGAGGCCCGCAGCCGAAGTAGCTTGTCCTCGTCGTCCTGCAGATGTGTAGCTTGGGGTTCTATTTTGCTTACATGGATCCTCCTTGCCAGGAGCCACCATGTTTGGGCTGACGGCGCTGTCAATGCTCCTTGCAAAGCAGCTGCACACAGTACGCCTTGTAAATATACAGGGCTTAAATACAGGGCTGCTTGGGATGCATCGGTGGCAGCAGCGGTAGCAGCTGACAGAAGGAGTGATGGTTGGATTGGGGCTTGATTTGATTAGCCCGAACTTCATGATGCTTCAGTACGCCAGCAATATATCGTCCTGCCTAACTTAACTGACACACGAAGGTGAAGCTGCTCCCTCGTGTCACGACCGCCGTGCCATCGTCACTGCTGACCGTTGCCATTGTGACACTGATCGTCAAGGTCCTTGGTCCATTGAAGAGATGTCTAGTTTACATCTGAATTTGTGCTCGCTCTTGTTTGAGTGCTTGGCCAAAGCTCGTTCCAGCAATTCCAGCGCTGCTGCAGGTTTGTCATTTGCTGCCTGTCTGCATAGTTTTCAATCTTTCGAGTCGGTAGTGGAGCCAGAATCTTCTGAAGCTGCAGCTCTGAGTTCCTTCCATGAAGCTCTCACCTGATCTGCTGAGGCCAGCCACGACTTTGATGGATATGGCCGGAGCAGAAACTTTTCGTGGAGGCTACTCTTCAAGCCTGACCATTCCAATCATACTATTGCCCTCTACTGCACAGGTGGCCTTGCAGGAGCATTGCATTCAGCGTGCTTGCTACGCTTGACTTTTTGTGAAGTACACAGTGGAATCGGTTTTGCCCAAGTCTTTGCCAGATTCTTTCCACTCGGCTCTTGTAGTCCGCATGCTCCTCTGTGGTAATCCTGTGCAGCTTCGAAGCGATGTTGCCTTTGATGAGGCTTCTCCATGCTGCCGCACCTGGCGCTGCCAGCGGCACCCTGTCCGCTTCGACGCCCGTAGCTTGTGGTCAGGTTTCCTTAAGCGGATGTTGACTCCTGTGGGCAGGGCGCGAGGGTGGGTTGGGGGGGGGGGGGGGGGGAGGACGGCCCCGAAATTGGTTTACTGCCCTGCTCGCCTGTATCGCGATAAACAAGAAACTTTCCTTCGGGCCATTCGACTCTCGAGACTCCAGGTACCATGGTTGGCCAGTCCTTTGCAGACTTTCAGCATTCTGTTGCCCTATGCCGCAACCATGGCTGCTGTAGGCAGGGCTTGTCAGGGATTCTCAGAACAGATGTCGCAGCTTACGCTTTGTGCTAGTGCTGACAATGCCGCAGGCTTGGGGGAGTCTTTGCTGACGCTTCAGCTTGTCGATGGGATCATGGAGGCCAGCGGCCGTCTGCGGTAGGGAGCCGGATCCGAAAGGTCGAGGAAACCTCTTCTCAAGGTTTCAGCTTCGGAAAGAACCGCGGAGTTTACGCTCGACAAGCGTGGCTGTTATCGTAATCCAAAGTGGCTTCCATGAAGGGATTAACTAGGTAATGCTAGGTACATGGCTGCAGTGTGCTTGAAGCTCATCAGTTTCAGGTTCTCTCAGGCTCTGGGTCTTTCGTGTGCATCAAAGAGAAGCTGCTCCCTGTAGGATGGGAAGAGAGGCGACACTTCCAAGGACCGGGCGTCAGAACCCCGAGTACTTGGCAGCGCAAAAGGCAATGCAAAAGATCAGAAGATGTGAGAGGACTGACCATTGTAATCTGCACAGCAATCTGATAAGGAGTAGTTCGTTGTAGCCCGTCGTCGTAAGAGCAGAAGCAGTAGTCAGTAGTAGCAGTGGCGGTGGCCGGCCTTGCTTCCCGACCCTGGAGTGAACCTTTGCTTTTTAGACTTACATCATCTGGGCCAAAGATGAAGTTGGAAGCAACAAGGCTGCGCGGGATCCATTGCGCAGCGATGTGCAGGAATGCATCGGCCAGGGGCTGGGGAACATCGCCAGCGGCCTCACCGGCGGCATGGGGGGCTGCGCCATGATCGGGCAAACCCAGGCCTTCTCAGCTTTCCAGCGAGCTAACCGTCGATGCGAGAGCTGATGAGAGCTGCAAGGTTGCGCAATGTCTGCTTAAATCAAACTATCGGAGGCTGCTGGTTCCAGGTCAGCAGTACGACAATGCAGGAGAAGCGATGAGGGACGATGTGTCGCAGGAACATGCAGACAGCAACGACGAATGGAAAGCACTATCTGAGCAGCGTGGCATGTACAGTATAGTTCTTGGACACAAGGTCTCGCACATAGCAGGCAAGGTGTTAGGCATCAATTGTGCCTATTTCCCCCATGTAGACATGTTGCTTCTGTGTGACACGTCAACCCTGCAGGTGAACGTTCAAGCTGGCGCCACCTCGCGCCTTGCAGGCAAAGGTAAAGCGAGTAATTAGTGCTTGGACCGTCTTCAGACCAGTGACTAGATATGCACATCATATGCTCGGAGCTGAGTAGCCCCGATCCGAATACTGAAGTACGACCATCTCAGGGCCCCAGTCTCTCTCACGGACAATGTTTTAGGTGCAAGTATTGAAACACTAGGAAGTTTTGATCAGCACATGGTCCCGCACCAATGCAGAGGGCACGGCAGATCGATAGGGGAATGTGAGAATTTGGTTTTGCTTGGCATGGTGGGCGTTCCGATCATCCTCACCATCCCCATCACCAACAGAAGCAGACGGCAGCAGCACAGTCGTCGTCAGCAGCAACGCCACCTCCACATGTTTCCACCCCACAGAGTTGGCATGCGGCAGGGATTTCAATGGCCGCCTTTCTGGGCGTGGGCATCGTTGCAGCTGCACCAGTGCCAAGACCTCAGATGCAGCAACGACGTCATCCATCTGCGGTTGTGCAGGTTCAAGCCGATCCCGCGGTCAAGCGTGCATGGCAAGTCGCGAGACATTCGGTTTGTTGAATCATGTGAATACTTTGAAACGTTCATCTGTTTTACTGGCCCAAGTGGCTGTGCCAACCCTGGGCATGAGCCAAGCGACTGTAGATCGGATTGCTGTCTAACATGCAAAACGTGCTACCGGGCCAAGTCGAAATCAGCAAGGGCAAAAATCCGGCTGCTGCGACGACTGAGACAACCGATGGTCACACGCTCCAGGATACGCATCATTATTTGCCTTCACAGGAGGACGACGAGAAAGCTGGATCCTTCAAGAGGCGGAATCTACGCCTTGTCCGCAGGGTGCAGCTTGACGACTTTTTGAGGGAGCATAGATTCAGGGATGTGGACGAACCAGAGCAGTGCGGATGCTTCTCTTTTAAGGAACGTTTCTACCCAATTCACATCGCTGCACGACTGAACGATAGTCAGATGATCCGAATTCTTCTCGCAGCCGGTGCAGATCCGTCAAGAAAGTCCTCTCGGGGTCGCACAGCACTGGAGCTTGCAGAAGCATCAGACAGCCAGAAGGCGTTGGACCTGTTGCGCTGCAACATCAAGGTCCTAACTGCAACGGAGTTGACTCACATATCGAGAGTCTAATCCGCCCGTGATTGTAAGGACGCGTTTTCAAGGTCATGGATGTGAAACAAGCCTTCTCAAATTTCGCTGCATGCTTCATTCCACGACAGGCAGCAGTTTGTGGCCTTTGCATCACGATGGCCATGTTCCCAGGGCCTTTCCGATCCCTACGCAAATCTACGTAGATGCAAGGGCTCCCCCTGCACAGTCCCCTTCATCGTTGCCCTTGGTGAAGGTGTTCACTGATTTTCCCTCGCAGTTTTCCTGGGACGATTTCACGGACGGGCGTTGATGATTTTGCGAGTGCTGAGCCATTGCCGCCACGACCCACCGAGAATTAGGGCATGATACCTGCTAAGCACAGTGGATCGTCCCAGCAACCAAGGCAGTGCATCCCGCTAGGCCACTGAATCAAGACTCTTTTAGCACAGTGGGCAAATATTTTTGTTCAATGATACTTGTGCTTGCAGCCGATCTTCTGGTGCAACCATTCCACTTGAGACTGGTTGCTGGAGCCAGAAATTCCGCTGCACGCTTAGATGGCGCTGTTCTTTGCAATCCCCTCTTGCAGAGTCGCAGCATTGATCAGAAAGTCCCAGTATTCCGATGCTTTCAGGCCCGCCAAGATTTTGATTATATGTTCACTGATTTTCCCTCGCAGTATTCCTGGGACGATTTCACGGACGGGCTTTGATGATTTTGCGAGTGCTGAGCCATTGCCGCCATGACCCTCCGAGAATTAGGGCATGATACCTGCTAAGCACAGTGGATCGTCCCAGCAACCAAGGCAGTGCATCCCGCTAGGCCACTGAATCAAGACTCTTTTAGCACAGTGGGCAAATATTTTTGTTCAATGATACTTGTGCTTGCAGCCGATCTTCTGGTGCGACCATTCCACTTGAGACTGGTTGCTGGAGCCAGAAATTCCGCTGCACGCTTAGATGGCGCTGTTCTTTGCAATCCCCTCTTGCAGAGTCGCAGCATTGATCATAAAGTCCCTGTATTCCAACAAGATCTTCGCGGAAGATACGGAAGCAAGGATGTGAAGCACTCGCGCACAAAGCAAACAGACTTCGCATGGAGGTTGTTACATAGTTGGACCTAAAGCCTACTTCCGACGCTAAGTGGTCGTCAGTCAGTAGCAGGCAATGCCTATGTCAGGCAATGCCTTTGTTTACTAGCCCATGTGTAATTAACATTGTCCTGTGCTTAGCAGACCTTTTGGCGAATCCGGAAAGTTGGCTTTGTGATGCTGCATCAGTTCTGTCAAGTAGACTGACAGTAGACTCCTAAGAGGGGTGTCAGCACTTACAGTGATGTCAAGATCATGCTTGTGGTGAGCTTCGCAGGCAGCAGTGTCACAACGATCCGGGGCGTTCGTGCTTGAGATCGCTCATGGTTCATCTTGGTCAAACCCACCAAAACTGTGCACTCGCACGTTCTCAAAATTCGCTGCCGTGTTTCACCGACAGAGGACGCATCAGAATCTCGTCGTTACTTTTTTTTGTTAAATGCTGGCTCCGCCATGGTGTCGCTGCCACAGCGGCTTGTCATGGGCAGATAGACACCGAACTCGTTCGGATGGCAACCCTGCAGCGCCAGCAAGGGCATGCTGACGATTGAGCTTGAGAAAGTGTCAAAATACGCATCTACTCAGTGCCACAAGCTTGACTTTAGGCCATCCATATCGATCCCTTCCTACGAAAAGTGAGGACTTCATTATGAACTCACATGTACGAACTATTTTGCATCACCTGTCTCAATCAAGGCTTGGTCAAGTTCCTGTTGCTGCCCTGGTTGGTATCATGTGCCTCAGCTGGTTTGTGCAGTACCTGCGTCCCAGGTCCAGGCATCGCCAAAGAACTGCAGCAACCAATAGCGCTTGTAGCGGTTAATGCGTCGTATTGCTCTTTTTCCAGGGCCTTTCAGACACCATGTCAGCCGACAGAAAACAGGTTTGTGGTTTGCCAGTCGACCTTCGCTTGGTCCAGCCTTCGCATCATGAGCTGCCCGGACCAACACAGGGCAGAGCTTGGGGACGCGAAGGCTTGGGAGTGGATTTCTTCCTGGTGTGTGTTCAAGACGTCAAACTCAGGTAGACCGAAATGACGATCAGCATTTTCCGAGTTCAGCTCTCGCTGTGAGGTAGTTTGGCACCCCCTGTCAAGTTGAGCGCAATTCCTTCGAAGGAAAAGTGCCCCGCTCTGATGCAGCCGTCATAGTCCTGGTGTCCTTGGCGGCTTGGCTCATGTTTGGGTGTCCTGTCATCACTACTGTGGCGACGATACCTTTGATGTTGCATTTGTCGTCGACACTCTAGGTACCGTCATAATATCTTATTCCGTTATTCCCTCTTTCGGCAGTGTTGCAGTGTTGCGATTCCAAAGGAACGTGCAGAGGGCCCAGACGGCCTAGCGGCTAAGCAGTTTGCGTTGGGCCAATTGTGACTTGATGCATGGTTTTTATGGTTTCCCACGGTGTTTCCAGGCCAGGAACGCTCAAGTTTTGCCGAGGTCACCGTCGTCAAGGATCTGGCAATGGCGGTCGTTGCCGGCACAATTCTCTCCGCTCCGGGGCGGAATCGAAGGTCGGTAGTTGCAGCCAAGTTTTGTAGGTGTTTGCAAGGCTTTGTTGAAATTGTTGGAGACCCGATTTTTGCAAGCCCAAACAACTGGGACTTCCCCTTAACTGTCGCTTTGTGGGGGAGTAGGTTGAGCAGTGGTAGTACTAAGTACCACCAGGAAGTGAGGTGAACTCTGGATGGGGGAGTGAGCCCAACCCGGCCTTCATGAATTGCAGATTTGATGAAGCAATCTACGACAGTTTGCATTGCTGGGATGTTGAAGTGCTTAGTGCTTACTATGCCGGCATGCACATGAGTCTTGAGAGCTCTGCCTAATTCAAAGCATGTGATCCTTATTATGGGTACGGGTACGAGCAATTCTCGCCCGACTCCCCTCGAGAAGCTTGCCGGTTTCAGGGATTCGCGCCACCGAACCTCCCGAAACGGACGGACACTTCGCAGTCCGCCCAAGGCTTTGGCCTTCTCCTGGCAGCAGAGTACCAACCTGAGAGCTGAGACAGAGGCCATGGCCGCAAATTGCAGAAAAGCACATGAAAAATCATATATTTAACATTACAACATGAGATTCAGCATGATTCAACGTGAGCATTAAGCCTGCCGGGTTTTTGTTCAGCAGGCTTCACAAGCACTCGTGTAGCTGGTTCGCGAATTTTTTGCCTCGTCTGCCAGGTCCAGGGCGGCTGGAAAACGTATCGACTCCGGGGCCTGCTCTTCTTCGGGAGTACGCAACAGTTCTCTGCAACTTGGCTGATGTCGAGTTTTCGATTGTGTTTGTGCACGTGTGCTTCTGCAGGGATGTGCATTCTGTAGTCCTACGCTACATATACTCAAACGTGCGCGTACATGCACGCATACTTATATGCACGGTTGGTAGGTGAGTGCATATGCTTTTGTTGTTTGGTCTTGCTTGTTCGAGCAAGCGGTGTATCCCCTGGAGACCATGCCTCTTGCTGGTGGCTGGGTAAGCAGGCTAGTCGTACTGACCGCTGAAACACTTACAGCACATGACAGAACGCTCCAACTATTGAGGATGTCTTCGCAGTGCAGGAGGACTGTCAGCAGAAGTTCAAGCCAATCATCCTCGGTCATTTAGCCCAGCTCGGTCTGCCGCTTCGGTGGGGAAGGGCAACGAAAAACGAACGATGGAAGATCTAGCTTGTCTCGACGCAGCCTTGCAGGATCCGGACGACGTGATTCTTGATTTCGCAGAGTCGAGGGTCTTGGATCATTCCGCCCTCGAGGCCGGCAGCCACACTTAAGCAGTGTGATGGACTCCTCCAACAAGTAGACGCAGATCCAAAGCAGAGTGCCAAGCTGTGCCAAGGGTTGGCTAACTTGCTTCTTCTTGTGCCTCTGCAGGCAATAAACTCGCTGGCTGCCTCCTATGGTGTTCTAGCCGCACCTGAGCAATCCTAGCCGGAGTGCTAACTGGCATTGCAGCACAGAGATTTCCACGTCCTGGCCCGAGCTGCGGTCGCCAAGGCGAGCTGGGAAAGAGGCTCCACCTTCGGCACCTGAGTTCCGATTGCGCAGGTCTCCTGGAGCGGCTGAACGGTGGCTGATACTGCATTTTAGGGCAATACTCTAAAGCTGTGGTTTCAGGACATGGGGTGTAGCGTGGGTTTAGGTGCAGGTGTCGAGGGTCTTGGAGTTGGACCTGCACAGCAAGCGAAACCATTGCGGCCCCGAAGTTCCGTTTTGGCTTGTTCCTAGATCTGCCGGGCCATCAGGCAAGTGGTGCGACAGAAAAACCGAGTGCAAATCTCCTGGGCAAATCTGTTTGCTGACATGGATCTCGACTCAACCCAATGCGGCCAATGTGACCACGCTGATCGTCGTTGCAGGCAGACCAGGCCATGTGCACAAGGCCCGAATGGCACAATGAATCATTTACACCCCGGCCAAGGCTTTGGTAGGCTGCCAGACTGCACGCAATGAAGATGCTCAGATGTTGTATCGTCTAAGGAACAATGCCACCGTACGAAATTGTCGAGGCAGATCCAAAGACAGATCCGATCTATGAAGTCGCGGAGGAAAGTGGGAAGTTTCTCAAGCAAGAGTCATGATGCGACTTTGAAGCTTGCATGCCGGCATGGAGGACAACAAATTTTACAAAGACTTGGCGGCACCGACCTCGCCAACCAAAGAGCCACCACAGGCAGGGCGGGAGTGGCTGTGTTAAAGCGTTGTTTAGCACCTGGAGCTCCCACGTGCGAAACCTGGCTGGTCCTGCGAACTCAGTTGTCTCACTCTGCCCGAGGAAGCTGAAGATGTTGAAGCGACCAAGAACGCAGACAACGATTGAGAAGAGATGGCTGCGCACGCTTGTCGGGAAGTCACGTCTCAGTGTCAGAGGACGCACGGGTGCCAGCTCCATCACATGTCAGGCTTTTTCAGCTGCGGGCTTGAGCACTGAAAGTGATATACGTCACGGAAGAGATTTCGCAGTACTCACTTAGCCATCATAAATCGCAGCTTGCTAAGCTTAAGCTCAACCAGAGGCATCAATAAGACCCCGGCCCCAACAGACGCCAAAGCATTTGTGTTCGGAGCCCTGAGTGCTGGGCCATGGCCGACGGCGATGGGACTCGAGGAGAGCCCGTCCGACGACAGGCCACGGCAGGTATGTCAGGTGTGTTGGGGAGCTAAACACTTGGGGATAGAGTGGGGATAGTCGATGTGATCGAGCTCCGGGGTTCATTCAGAGTCCGTCAGTGGAGTGCAAAACTCGTCTTCGGACCTCTGCAGCCGCGAGCTTATCGGGCTTCTTGTTAATGCCATGGGGCGACGGAAGGAAGCCATGGCTTCAAAGCCCAATCGCCGCATCACGAAGAAAACTTCTCCGAAGAAGGTTGCAAAAGCAAAGAAGAAGGACAAGAGCAAAAAGGAAGGCAGCAATGCCAAGAGTGCTTATCACTACTTCCTGACAAGCCAGCGGAAAGACGTGCTGTCACGCGCCGACATCGAAGACACGCCTTTGAACTTCGAGAGGAGCGCCAAGGCAGTGGCTGCAGCCTGGCAGGGACTCAGCAAGATTCAACGCGAGCCTTTCGAACGCTGCGCTGCACTCGACCGGACTAGGCGTGACCTGGGAAAGATGAAGGGTGCCAAGCTGAAAGTTAGCAATGAGCTGACGGGTCTGGTGAAGGCAGCTGTAGAGGCTCTGGCACAGACACCCTCTGCTGACAGCTGCTCAGCTGGGCGCAAGGCGGCTGAGGACGTCGTGGCATCCCTGGAGGCATTGGATTCCAGGCTTTGTAATGCTGGCCGGGCGGCCCCTCGACTTGCTCACCGGGACCCGATCGAAGGGAGGTCTTCAGCAATCTTGAGATGTGAGGCGCCAGGCTTCAGAGTGCACAACATGTAAATGCCATGCACCCAAGATTGCGGGGGCAGAAAAAGCCATTGTTGGGAGCTCCGATAGCGGACATCCACCTAAGGCTGCCGCTGCCGGCCTGCGCAATGGTGCAAGTGGTGTGATGGTCCCAGACAGGCGTCGGAGTTCGCGCATTTTTTGGCGTGCATGAGAAGCGGTTGTGAACGAGATAGACTCAGACGGCATCGCGATAGTGCAAGCGGCTTTGTTTGCAGGACGAGGTCAAAATTACTCTGCCTGTCCAAGGTGATGCTGGCTGCTGGGGCTGTGGGCCCTGCAGTCGGTGGTCGACTCACAGCCATCATCCGGCCACTGGGACTGCTCCAAGCCCCAAATTCCGTCATGAAACAAAGCTCCCGCAAACAGTGCAGCTTTCAAAGCCCCGTGTTGCTTGTGTTCATGTGCCTTTTAGACTTTTAGGCTTGTAGAGTTGTGGGTAGAGTAGAGGCCAGGCAAGAACCCAATAGTGATGGGGAAGCACCGACAGCTTCGCCACCGTTTACCCTCGAGAGTCTCGCCACGCGAGCGCCACGAGCGCAGAGCACAAGCCTCGGTACTCCAAACTGCCCCCCGAATGCAATTAGGCTAGGAGGCTAGACACTGGACCTTCCCCCTCCACTGCCGCAAGAAAAGACGCTTCCAATAAGGAAGTGGTCCTCCGCTCCGGCTCCGAAGCGGAAAGCGCCAAAGCAAGCGCAGCAGCCCCCACCAAAGTCTGCGGCCTCGCAGGACCGAGTTGGAAAGCGAATTTGAGTCTGAATCCAATGTATTGCATAAGGTTCGTTTACTGTATAACACAACGCGTTGTAGTTTGGTTTCAGTTGACGTGATATTAGCAGACAATGTAAACATCGACTTTAGGTTTCAGTGTGAGAGAGCTCAGAAACCTGCTTGATTGCGGAGTGTGCGTCGAAGCTTCATCTCGTGGGAGTCCGCCAGTTCACACTGTGTAACACCGACCCCGCTGAGGCTAGAATTTGGGAGTACTTTCGAGCCCGCACTCCGCACCTCCTCAGGCCAGCAACATTCAAAGCCAGAAGGAAGAGAAGTGAAAAGATTTGTCTATCGGCGCTGGTGCATGAGGTTTGGGGTTTGTCAGTCTTCGGCAATTCAAACGCTGCGATATGACACTCAGAGTTCAAACTTCGGGAAGGCCTCGCCTGGGCCTGGAAGTGGCGATGGGGAGAGCACCTTGGAAGGCGACTATTTGCGCAGCCGTGTCGTGGGGAGCCTTGGCCGCACGCATAAGTTCCGTATCACTTGGCAAGCAAGCCGTTGATATAGCTGCACGTGATTATATTTGGTTGACTGAGTAGTCAGCCACGCACGGCTCGCGAGTGTTGGCCCCTCCAAGGATGTTGATGCGCACCGCAGGCCAGAAGCTGGGTAAGGCGCACTTGGAGACTTGTCGGCGGTGCCTTGGCATGTTCTGGCCACATGTGCTGCTACTAGTATTGGTGTGCCAATGTTCTTCGTGATTGCTGGCGCCGCTTCATGTTACGAAGCGCCGCTGTGATGGTTATCATTAGCATCCTCTTCACCAGGCAATTCGAAGTGCAATCACCAATCAAGCAATCACTACGTAAGCCCATCCACAAGACTAATTGTGAACCTGTCCCGGTCAAGGCGAGTGTTGTGACGATGCTTGTCAGGGATGCAGCGAGCTCAGGATCGAGGCATCTTTGTACCACAAGTTTGGGCAGAACCTGAAGGAATATCGGCAGCGGGCACGCAGACTCTTGACCGATAGCTTCTTTGTGCGTGACTGCTATTCCCAAACATCTCAAGGAGTGTTCAGTGTTCAGGTCACCACAAACAGCTGCGTCTCATTGTAGCATCGCACCAGAGCCCGAAGATCACTGGGCCCTCTGCAAGGCTTGAGCGTGAACCTCAGCAAGGCAGAGAACCGCCTGCTTGAGAAGGCCGCTTTCGCTGAACACCGAAAGCCTGATTAGTTAGAAGACTGCATCGAGCAGGATCGACTCGGATGGCCCCTGCTCCTGCTTGTGTTGCCAGGTTTGCGAGGGGTCGCTGCAGCCCTCGGAACTGGCTGGATTGACAGGTGAGGACCTGGCACCGGAGGTCTGTGGGATCACTGACGTGTAGACTTGATAATACCGCGGACGTTGAGTCTTCCACATGCATTTGTCAGGTAGTTTTGCAATGACAGAAGGAGCAAGAGATTCACGTGCAGCATTTTGTTGCTGGCATTCGTTGATCTTCCACACGGCATCGATCACAAGCATCACAAGCCCCTTGGCTTGAAAGGCACGTTCTTGTCACGTCGTGACAGGCTGTCCGCATCGCCCGAGAGATGGAGCGCCAGAGACACTTCCGTGAAGAGGCCAGGCTTTGGGCTGGTGCTCCGGGCTCTGAGCAGTTCCAGAGTAGGCTGAGTAGGCAGGTGTACCGAAGGTGTGCTATGTTCTGATGAGCATTGGCTGTATGCCAACGTAGATGCTGACTTGGGGTGTCACCTCGAACCTTGCATTGACTTGAGAAGTGCTTCAGACCAGTTTGGGGACACTAAGTCAGTCGCTCCTACAAGCGACCAGTATAGGAATCTACATGAGCGAGTGAATCCGGTGTGCCCACGAGTGACACGAGTGTTGACGCGTCATTCCAAAAGTGCGCCAACTGGCCACGTGGCAGCGCCTAAGCTAATGAGCAACATGGGGTGAGGTCCACCTGACAGCGGCGCATCCCAAGACGAAGCATGAGCTTTTCGTTCGTCGGCGTGACAGTGACGAGAGGTGCCTTCTGCTGCAAGGTATGAATTGGATGTTCCTGTTCACCTCTAGCGAACCGTCACCACAAGCGCAGGTGTGCGAGGGAGCACACTCCTTGCCAGCATCCTTGCTTGCAGCAACAAGCATCGAGCTCATCAGAAGTTCCCGGTTCATAGCCCTTCTAGCAAGTTCCGCCTGTAGATAAAGGAAGGCATTGCCAGCTATCCTAGGTCGTGGGAGGATCGCCAAACAGAGACGGGGGCTGGAAACAAGACCCAAGGATAGATCGCAGTGTAGACTGTGGGTAACTACTACTGCTAATACTATGAGGATGACGACGACTACTACTACTACTACTAATAATAATGATAATAATATTTGCTAGTTCTCCTACTCCTACTACTAGCTCCTACTGCTGCTTCTACTACTACTACTACTACTACGACTACTACTACTACTACTACTACTACTAATACTACTACTGCTACTACTACTGCTACTGCTACGGCTACTGCTACAACTTCAACAACAACGACGACGACGA